CCCAGGACCCTGGGATCATGACCTGAGCCGAAGGCAGAGGCTCTAACCCACTGAGCCACCCAGGCGCCCCGGAAATTTTTTTTCTCTAAAGCAATATTATAAAATAAATGATAATCATAGAAGTACAGATACTAGTAGTGTTAAACTATTTTATTAAAATAAGATAGACATGAATCCTGAAGCTCAATTTTATTTTCCCATTTCATACAAAGTTTAGACACTTAACTTGAACCAATTTGCTTTGCAGCTTACTTGTGGACGGCTCTCCTCTCTCGACTGCTGCTTTTTCTCGAAGTTTGTCATACCTTACAGCTTTATTTCTTTCTTTGTCCAACCTGAAGTGCATCATTTCTTTGACTCTGGAAAAAAGCCTGCTGCCTTCTGTTGCATCTGCCCTGAAATCCCCAAGCTGTGCTGGAATCCAGTCACCTACCTACTTCCTTCCCACAGCCAGCTTATGCGCTCTGTGGGCTCCCTGCAGCAGCAGATGACAGCTTGTTGCTCCTCCATGTATGGCTTCCAGATGGAGCTGAGGGGTCAGTGCTGTTCACCACGCTGTCCTCCCTACCTGGGAGAAGACCTTCTAGAATTCTGCAGTCTGCTCAAGGGCTCTTCTCTACTCATGCTCCTTGCTTTCAGCCAATGAATGTATTTAAAACTTCAGAGAATATGAGTTTTTCTGGTTTTCCCTTTCTCTGCTTTCTTTTCAGATAGATCATTAAGGTTAGTGAAGTCACAGGTGCACACACTTTCTTGTCTCTAGTTTTATGAAAATGTTCACCTCTTTTCTGCAGGTCTTATTCTTAAACTGGTGACACTGCTCCTTAGTTCCTTGGACTGTGACTAGCTACTCTTTTACTTTTTTTTTTCTAACATATACTGTATTATTTGCCCCAGGGGTACAGGTCTGTGAATCATCAGGCTTACACATTTCACAGCACTCACCATAGCACATACCCTCCCCAATGTCCATAACCCAACCACCCTATCCTTCTCCACCCACCCCCCAGCAACCCTCAGTGACCAGCTACTCTTGACATCTGTCCCTCTTCCTTTTTTTTTTTTTTTAAGATTTTATTTATTTGACATTGACAGAGAGATAGAGGGTACAAGTAGGCAGAGAGGCATGCAGAGGGAGAGGGAGAAGCAGGCTCTCTACCAAGCAGGGAGCCCGATGTGGGACTCGATGCGGTGACCCTGGGATCGTGACCTGAGCTGAAGGCAGACCCTTAACCGACTGAGCCACCCAGGCGCCCTGTCCCTCTTCCTCTTAACTGGCTCTTTCTGAATACACCAAAAATGTATTCTTTTTTTCACATTAAAAAAAATAATAAGAAATCTCCCCCATCCATATGTTCTATTGAAGGAAAACCCCCAACTCTCCTTCCTTTTTCTTACAAAAAGAGAAGTAATTCCTACCTCTATTTCAACAACTCTTTTGAGTGATTTTTAAACTTAGGTCTGGATTTCAGGCACAGTGCTCCACTCATCCAAACCTACAAATCCAGTGTCATTTTTCAGTCCAGTTGATATTTGCACAACATATTTGCTTACTCAACAGCTTCCTTGAGATATACCTCAAGGACTCCAACACAGCATTCCCTAGGTTAAACTTTATAAACCTCTTCTTCCTCCCGTCTGCCGTCTTAGTGAACAGTATCACCCAGCATACATGTCCTCTGTTTGAATAGTTATCAAAGCCTTAGATTCCTGGTGTATATCCTGCCCCTGTATCCCCATGGCTACTGCTATGCTTAAATGTATGCAGTTTTTCACTGGGCTAGTGAAATAGATTTCAAACCTATTTTTATATTTCTCGTAAGTTTTTAAAAAATGTTTAACCACTCTTTCACAGTCTAGGATAAATCCAGTCTTCTCAGAATGGCATTAAAAGGCTCCCCTCCTGGTTTTGACCGAAATCTAAATTATCTTTTGTTTTTGCTTTTGTTTGGCTATGATGAGTCATAGACCCACTAGAGACTAATGAAAGCTATAGATGGTTTCTTCAGAAAACGTCGCCATGCACACAAGCTCATACTTTGTTGTAGTCATGTCAAGGGGCTTCACAGTCTCCGTCAGCTCTGTCCATGAATCCCGTAGTCCAAACCAATCTCTTGGCACACTCTCCAGCACTTTCAGCAAGGCTGAGACACTTCCACCAAATGTCCTGCTTGATGGTCCCCTTCACGCAACCCCTGGCTGCGCCATTCACTTGATGAGCAGAATAAAACCCACACATCTTCTATCCATTAGCCTAAGGTCACCTCTAGACCTATCCTCATTCTCTCTTCACACATACATGTCTGGGTGATTTTTTTCTTTGTGAACCGGTTATGCATGACATCTTTTGAAAGGTAACAAAATAACCTAGGGTAGACAGTCAGATTTAAAGCTAAAGAGCCTTGAAATCAGAATGAAGAAGAATAAATTTCTTCTCCCAAAGTAGTACCATTTCTGGCTTTATGATGGAACGGACCCTTGAGTTGGCTTTAAAAACTGCAGAGAATTTGGAAATGTGAATATGTGAGGTAGAGAAGATGAGTGAGGATTTTCAGACCTAAACATTTGCTAAACTGCTTTTCATTCTAGAAATTAGAAGCTTGGTTGTATCATTAGATTTTTTATGGTATTATATTAATCATAAGAATATAACTTTCACATAGTTCATGAGACTTATTCCCTGACCAATGTATTTATTTCTAGAAGTTTCCTTTTTTGAAATTCATGATGAGTTCACTTTTCTAGTTTTCTGCTAATTATATTTACTGATTTGTAAGATTTGAGACATTGGTTTATCAAGCCTGTTTTTAGGAAAACTAATCCTATGGGAAACTCATTAAGGAAGTATTCGATGGGCTAACACCCTTGTGAGTCATATTAGCATTGTAAAGGCTGTAAGAAGTTCTGAGAAGAAACTTCAGTTAAGTCATTACTTCACAACTTAGTTGAGCATAGAACTGCTTTCCCATAACAGTGGTTATTATCTGAAAGGACTATTTCTCCACACTTTGGGGAATTATAATGAAATATAAATATTCATGTAGTATGCAATCTCTTTCCAAATAAAACTATTTATTAAGGATCCAAGATAAGTTGCTTTATATTTTTATTCACATCTCAAAGATTCCAGAATATCCCTTAACTTAGAACGCTTTTATCATAAGGTTTATGTATGTTTCAAGTGTTTTTTTTTTTATTAACCTGTTGTAAGAGAGCTATTGGAATATTTTTTTAAAAATCAAAATAGGGGGGCGCCTGGGTGGCTCAGTGGGTTAAAGCCTCTGCCTTCGGCTCAGGTCATGATCCCAGGGTCCTGGGATCGAGCCCCGCATCAGGCTCTCTGCTCTGCAGGAGGCCTGCTTCCTCCTCTCTCTCTGCCTGCCTCTCTGCCTACTTGTGATCTCTGTCTGTCAAATAAATAAATAAAATCTTAAAAAAAAAAAATCAAAATAGGGGCGCTTGGGTGGCTCAGTCAGGTAAACAACTGACTCTTGATTCAGGCTCAGGCCCTGCTCTCAGGGTGATGAGATCTAGCCTTGCATCAGGCCCTGCTCTCAGTGGAGTCCACTTTTCACCCTCTGCCCCTCCCCACCCTTGCTGCTTGGTCTCTCCCTCTCTCTTTCTCTAAAATAAATAAATACATAAATCTTTTTAAAAAGTTCAAAATCGTATCACGGATATTTTGGAACCAGAAGGATGGCTAAGTTTCACATGGGTCTCTCCTTCACCACTCATTTGAGAAAACTAAAGCCTAGAGAAGTTTAAGAACTCTGTGAACATCATGGAGAAATTCTGTAGTAGAACTAAAACTTCAAATGAATGTCTTTGAAAAAGAGCCCAGTGTTCTTTGGTTGCTCACTAATCCAATCCATTGCTGAATAATACATTTATAAATAAAAAAACTGATCCTGCTTGTGATGACAGTTGAGATTTTTCATGACTTCAGATTCAAAACAAAAACTAGAAGGGTTTATGTAAATGTTCAATTTCAAATACATCATCACAACTAAACATAGTTGAAATGATATTGACCTAACTGAGAACAAAAGCTTTAACAATAATTTAGAAATAAAATTTAATATTTAGAAGAAATGTTTTTAAAAGAACTAGTTTTTTAGAAATATTAACTCTATAAAATACAAAGTGTGAAGTGGAGGAAAGAGTCCTTTTATTCTTATTTGTTTGTTTAGCATTTCATTTAATGAAATGTTTTCTTACAACATGAAATCACTCTTGGAGATCAAAGTCATTAGGAAAACACAGCAGTTTGTGTTTATTAGTTGGTTCTAACCAGTTCTGCGGTTTAAGCACAAGTTGTTTTTCCAAGGCAGAGGCATTTCCGTCTGTTAGGAAATACGGACCTTTAAAATTTGTTTCCACTATGGCATTGTATCATAGCTTCTTCCTTACGAACTTTGAAAAATTTAGGGCATATCGTGCTCTCAATCAGCCACATAAAAACATGTTTAAAAGAGAAAATGTATCCTATTCTTTTGTTATATTTGTATACAAAGTTACTTTTTAAATTATAATTTAATTTTATTACTAAGCATGCCAGTTCATAATCCAGTTTTGGGGAGCTGTCATGGTATAAAGGCTTATGCTCCTTTCTTTCTTTTTTTCTTTCGTTTCTTTCTTTTTTTTTTTAACTTAAAATGAGTATTTGTGTGTATAAGAAAAACCTCTTTACTTCCAGGAAACACATCCAGCCTTTTCAAGATTAAGGAAATAGCATACCACATATGCTATTTTAATTAGACAATATTAAATACAAATTAAAAGTCTGGTGGACTTAGTTCCAATATGTCTGTAACTTTATCACCATGTGGAAAATTAACATTGCAAAGTCAAATATGGGAATAAAATATGCAGGATAAGTATATTTACTAAAGAATAAGGTATATTCATGAAGTTTATACTCATAATGTTGAACCATTAGTAAAAGTGTATTTTATATTTAGAATTAGTATGTATAAATTTTAAATTTTTTGATTTTTCAGATATTCTACTCTCCCCTGGCCCTCTTCATACCACCTTCAGTATATGCTGTTCATCTTCAGTTCAATCTTCTCTACCAATTTTGGATCCACACAGAGGTAACTCTTTTTTTTTTTTAAGTTTTGTACCTAAGTAGTTAGCCTGAAGAAATGTCCTGGAAATCCACTAGCAACTGATTTATTGTGTAAGAAAAATCTTTGTCTGCCTTCTTTAAGAAGAAACATCTGTTCATTTTTATTCCTTTTTATTGAATATATATTGCAAAGTTTATAAGAAGCAATGAGGCCAGTTGGTCTCAATTAAATAAAACAATTTTTTGAACTATTAAGTACCAAAATATTCTAATACTATATTCAGTACAATATCTTCCTGTATTACAGTTTATTAAATGTTGTTTACCAAAAGATGTTGAAATTCATTTCAATTTCAAGATATGAACTTATACCTATAAATTTTTATATTGCAAAAATATATGTAATTACATATTTAGCATGTTATTTATAATTATTATTTTATACTATAATTTATTATAAGATAATTAACAATACTTATATGTCAGTATTGATATATTTTACTGTACATATTTATATATACACATACATATATCAATCAGCGGGAACTCCTCGAAAAAAGTTTAATGCTTAAAGAAATTGTGAAAATATCATTTGATTGAAAATCTTGCTTTAATTTTAGAGTTTAGGTTTTATTTAGTGTTCAATATGTTTAGCCTTTTTTTCCCCAGAAAAGTGAAAAAATATAATTTCTTGGGTTTTATGTGGTATCTCAAATCGTCAGATTTGAATGTTTGCAGATAGATCATTAAGCAACTGATTGTTTTATTAACTATGGTACTGTTCTGGTTGTTAAATACCAAAAATCACAGGCCCAGGAAAACTTACTTGTAAACATGAGAACCTCTCCAAACATTTCACATTTGTTGCAAGCTTTTTGAAGTTCTGTAGGAAACATGTTGACAGATGTTGCAGCTGGTTGAACAATAGTGCAAATCACAGCTGCATTCAATACCAAAGCTTGATACAACAAAGTGCATTATTTCATTAATCTGCAGTATTTCATGCTACTGCTCTACTTGGAATAAGGAGACTATTACTATGACTTTGGATATATGAGCCATTATTTGAAGACCTGTGGTGAAACAGCATTGCGTTTTATGGCAGTTGACATGCATCAAACAGTCAATAGGACAACCATCTGAAAGAGTTGTTGAGGCCAATTCTGACTGTAGAGGTCAAAGACCAAATTTGTTTAAATCAGTAGAGGAAGGCTTTCTGATGATTTACATGGAGGGGTTAAAGGAGAATTACATTTTTTATAGCAGCTCTGCTACAGGTCAAGCCACGTGTTGGGTCACGTATTAGTTTGGATACAGAACAATGGTGCCTAAGTAACTTCTGCCTTTTCCTGTGCCCCTCTGAAAGGTCTGTGAGCTAGAGTTTCATCGCAGTATGTAAAGGGGGGAAAGCCAGTGGTGAGACATTTCTTTTAAGCTCAGGACCTCCAGGTGGCTTCATTTCCAAGCTCAAAAGCAACACATTACAACCTTTCACTTGTCTTGTACCTCATATTTTTGAAAGTACTGTATCATGTATAATTACTACAGTTGAGCTGCACAGGAAGCAGGAACATGCTTTCTGCAATTGAGGTTTGGCTTTTGAAATTTTAAATTATATTATTAAGTGTGAATACATTTATAAGATTTTTTTTACAGCTGTGCATTTAATTACATTTATTATTATAAACAGCATACTACCACTTGTTTGAAATAACAGAATCATGCAGGAAGTAGAACCAAGAGATTTGTAGCTGTGGCTGTTTCAGGGGTGAGTGAAATCAAGACCTGGAGTGGGGAGAAGATTTAACTTTTAAAAATAATTATTATTATCATGTGATTGCCCTAATTTTTAAAAGTTTAATATACAGAAACCATACTCCACTCACAGAAACCCTATGTCAGCCGTGGTACACATGACAGTGGTGGCCAAGGAGCCCTGATTAGTCCTGAATGGAGGTTTGATACTTTCAGTTGTTTCATGGCTACTGACAGCTGTGAAATCAGTTTTCACTCTGAGGGGGATTTGGCCTTAAGGAGGTACTGATTTTCTCAATGGAAGGATGAGTTCATTCATGTCAGTCAATCAGGGTAGGATAAGAGAAAGTAAAGAAACAAAATAAAGCAGAACAGTAACAACATGCTTTTTGAAAGATTGTATGTGAGAGAAAAAATAGATCCTAAAACAAACTAAAGAGTTTGTAATGAAATTTTCTGTTTACCTTTGGATTACTTTGATGAAGACAGAGCAGTGTCCATCTCCTTCCTCTTTTCTGAAAGTTACAAAACCTTCTGCTATAAACTGTACTCTGCTGTTTAATTTTTGCCTCCGTTTTTGTTTATTGCTCATTCATCTAAAATGTCTGCAGCACATAGTCGGTGAACCTCTTTTCTTCTGAGTTTATCGAAGAATACTTATTATTTAATACATGTTTTAAAGTTAAGAGCTGTGGAATGTTGTCATTTCATTTGAGATTATAGATGATATTTCAGTATTAGTTGATTCACACAGTACAAAGTAATAGTGGCATCTAGTACCTTATCATTATCTGTTACCTTTGATTTACTATCATTGTTCATGTACATCTTAGTCAATGCTTGTGCAGAGAAATATAAAAGAGAAATAGTTCTTTGGTATTGAAGATTTGAACCCATATGACTCAAGGATTTTTATAGTGCTGAACTAAAGCCCTTAAATGGAATATGATGCAGTCACAAACAAAATGAGCCATCTTTTTTTTTTTTTAATTTTATTTATTTATTTATTTGTTAGAGATCATAAGTAGGCAGAGAGGCAGGCAAAGAGAGAAGAAAGTAGACTCCCTGGTTAGCAGAGAGCCCGATGCGGGGCTCGATCCCAGGACCCTGAGATCATGACCCGAGCAGAAGGCAGGGGCTTAACCCGCTGAGCCACCCAGGTGCCCCTGAGCCATCTTTTTATGTACTAATATGGACAGATACCCAAAAATACAACAGTGTATAGTATATGCTAATATTTGTATTAAAAAAGGGAAAACAGCTATATGTTTTATATGCTCACAGATGCATGAAATGTTTCTAGAAGTACAGGTGGGTAGCCAACTCTTTTCTCAGGGGATAGATACTTGGATAAACTAGGGAGAAGGATTAGAATGAGATATTAATATTAATCTTACGCATGTTAATGTGGGCAAGGAGCTCTCTCTTTGGGTAATATTTCTCTAATAATTGATGATGTTGTGCAGCATTCCAGGTACTTATTGGTCATTGATGCATTTGCTTTAATAAACTGCCTGTTTAAGCTTTTATCTATTTTTTATTGACTTGTTTGCTTAAGTGACTTGGAATTCTTTATAGATTCTCATTATAAATCACTGTCAGATTTATGCATTTCAATTATATTTCTCCATCCTGTAGCATGCTTTTTCATTTTCTTTTTGATTATTTTGAAAAAAAATTGAATTTTGAAGTTTAATTTATCTTTTTTTAATGGTTAGTTTAGATGGTTTTTCTTGTTTGTTGTATTTTCTCCATGAACTCTTTATCATTTTTATGAATACCCACTTCTGTGCACCATTTAAAAGTAGAAACTTTCTTTCAGCCTTTTGATTACCTGAATCCTTTGTTGAAAAGAAATTGACCGTATGTGGTCGGCTCTAATTTTAGGCTTCTGTTCTCTTCTATTGATTTCTTTCCTCTTATCCCAATCCCTCACTTTATTATTATAGCTTGACAGGAAGACTTATTTGTACAATTGATAAAAAAAAATTATTTAAAAATTCTCCAAGACTGTCTTACTTTCTTATTGTGTAGTCTTTGAATAGACAGTTTTCTTTCTTTCATTTCTTTGTTTATAGCATATATTTCTCTCTCTCTCTCTCTCTCTTTTTTTTTTTTTCCCTCATTGCTTGGAGTTCACAGGTAGTATATTTTAGGTCAAATTTTGAAACAAACAAACAAACAAACATGGCCATTATTTCCTTAAACATTGTATCTACACCTTTCTCTTTCTCCTGTCTTTGGACTCAAAATGCCTGTTTATTAGACTATTTGATATTGATTCATATCTCAGTAATGCTCTCTAATTTTTTAAATTTCACTTTCTTATTTAGATTGATTAAGTTCTGTTAACTTGTCTTCAGGTTTAATTACCTTTTACCTGCTCTCTCTAATGTACAAATTTTAAGCCCATTCAGTTGGATTTCCCACATCAGATATTATGCCTTAAATTTTTGAATTTCCATTTCTTTTTTTCCTATTTATTTATTTATTTATTTTTAAAGTTGTTCCTTTTATTTATTTATTTATTTATAAAGTTTTATTTTATTTTTTTTTCAGTGTTCGAAGATTCATTGTTTATGCACCACACTCAGTGCTTCATGCAATACATGCCCTCCTTAATACCCACCACGAGGCTCCCCCATTCCCTTACCCCCGCAAACCCTCAGTTTGTTTCTGAGTCCACAGTCTCTCATAGTTCGTCTCCCCCTCCGATTTCCCCCATCTCACTTCTCCTCTCCATCTCCCAGTGTCCTCTGTGTTATTCCTTATGCTGCACAAGTAAGTGAAACCATATAATTGATCTCTCTGCTTGACTTATTTCACTCAGCATAACCTCTTCCAGTCCCATCCATGTTGATACAAAAGTTGGGTATTCATCCTTTCTGATGGAGGCATAATACTCCTCATACAACTGTCCCAATCAATATGACACCTATAGAGTAAGCATCAGCAGAAGTTAGAGTATGGAACCACAGGAATGCAGTGTGCAGAATTAGAAAGCATAAGAGGTATGTAGTGGAATTATGAAGAGACAATAAGAACTGGAAGTTTACAGAAATGTGGAGATAGAGAAAAGAATAGGAAAACATAACTTTACGGCAGCAAAAACAATAAAGCGGTAGCAGCATGACCTGAGATTTAGATCTGACTTCTTCATACAACTAATAGAGTGGTTTGCTTATGGCCCTTTTATATCCAACATTATGATTTTCATGGAAGTCTAGCAGTATTTATCTGTTCTTCAAAACCTTATGGAGTCTACCAAGA